GCAAAAACTTTTAAAAACATAAATCTTAGGAAAGTAGTTTATCTGACCGCCTCCATGGCATGTGTAAAAAAGTAGTACCATGAAAATAAACATCATTTACCTATTTCTTGTGTACATGACAAACAGACACACTTCACTGTTACACATAAAAAGGTTAGATTTTAAAGTTTGATTGTGTTTTTATTTTAATTGTAGTTCATAAGGCTATAAATGATGATTGTTTTCTTGCACTACTTTTTTACAAAAAATAATGGAGGCCATGTGCTTAGAAGGACATGAGATACTGATTTATTTGGAGTTAAGTTTTGAAAGATTTTTGTATTTGCTGCAAAAAAAAAAGCTTTTGTTGGCACTAAAACAGACTTTTAAAAGGATTTTGCAATACATGAAATGTGCATAAAACTTTGCAACAGAATGTTTTTGGCCTTCAGAAATGTAGCACATTCAAGGTAAATGTTCTTATTGTTATCATTGTTATTTTTGTTTATAATTGTCCTTAAAATATAAACCTGGAAGTGTATTTTCAAATGGTTCATCATTTTACAATAAGAGCTTTGTTGTTATATGAATTTTGGCCTACTTTCACTTTGGACAGACTTTAGTTAAAACAAACATGACTGACAAAGCGGAATCACCTTAAGCATATGCTATAGATAGATATCATGACAACAACAGAAACATTGATCTGCAGTTTGAACATGAAGTGTTATGTTTTTTTAGCTCGACTATACGAAGTATATGGAGAGCTGTCCTACTCGCCCCGGCGTCGGCGTCGGCGTCCAGATTTCAGATTAAAGTTTTGGTGCAGTAAAATATTTTTCACTATAACTTTGTCATTTCTTAAGGTATCAACTTCAAACTTCAAATATGTGTTCCTTATCATCAACCACATCTTATGTGACAAGGTTCATAACTCTAGCATCAATATTTTCAGATTTATCTCCCCTTGAACTTAGAATTTTCCTTAAAAAATACTATTTTTTACTGTAACTTCTTTATTTCTTAAGGGATCACCCTCATACTTCAAATGAATGTATCTTATTATCATCCCCATCTTATGTGACAAGGTTCATAACTCAAGCACCAATATTTTCAGATTTATCTCCCCTTGAACTTAGAATTTTCCTTAAAAAATAATATTTTTTACTGTTACTTCTTTATTTCTTAAGGGATCACCCTCATACTTCAAATATATGTACCTTATCATCATCCCCATCTTATGTGACAAGGTTCATAACTCTAGCACAAATAATTTCAGATTTATTTCCCCTTGAACTTAGAATTTTCCTTAAAAAATATTATTTTTTACTGTTACATATTTATTTCTAAAGGGATCAACTTCATACTTCAAATATATGTACCTTACCATCATCCATATCTTATGTGACAAGGTTCATAACTGTAGCACCAATATTGCAAGAATTATCTCCCCATAAACTTAGATTATTTTACTAGAAAAATGTTATTTTTTACTATAACTTTTTTATTTTTAAAGGTATCTACTTCAAACTCCAAATACTTATTCCTTATCATCAATTACATTTTATGTGACAATGTTCATAACTCTTGAAGCAATTTTCACAGATTTATCTCTCTTTGAACTTAGGATTTTCTTTAAGAAATATTATAACTTCTTTACTTTTTAAGGTATCTACTTCAAACTTTAAATATATATTTCTTATCATTACACACATGTTGTGTGACAAGGTTCATAACTCTAGCGTGACTATTTATAGAATTATTTCCCTTGATCTTGGAATTTATGTTAACAAATGTTATTGTTTTACTATAACTTAATACATATTAATACATAATTGATTTTTCTTTCATAGTTTTGTCCTCCTTACTGCGTCCAGTATTTTATTAGTCGAGCTTGGCTGTCTCCTGTGACAGCTCTTGTTATGAATGGTTTTAAAGCAATTCAACATAAAAATATATATTGATTACCCTAAAAATTAATTAACAATAGTTTTTTATGCCCCCATTTCGAAGAAAAGGGGGTATATTGCTTTGCACTTGTCGGTCCGTCGGTCCGTCGGTCCGTTGGTCCGTCGGTCCGTAGACCAAATGGTTTCCGAGTGATAACTAAAGAACCCTCAGGCCTAGGAACTTCAAACTTGGTATGGTGATTGGTCATGACCAGTAGATGACCCCTATTGATTTTGGGGTCAAGGGGTCAAAGGTCAAGGTCACATTGACCTTGTAAGCAAAAACGGTTTCCGATCAATAACTAAAGAACTTTAAGGCCTAGGAACTTCAAACTTGGTATGGTGATTGGTCATGACCAGTAGATGACCCCTATTGATTTTGGGGTCAAAGGGTCAAAGGTCAAGGTCACATTGACCTTGTAAGCAAAAACGGTTTCCGATCAATAACTAATGAACCTTAAGGCCTAGGAACTTCAAACTTGGTATGGTGATTGGTCATGATCAGTAGATGATCCCTATTGATATTGGGGTCAAGGGGTCAAAGGTCAAGGTCACATTGACCTTGTAAGCAAAAACGGTTTCCAATCAATAACTAAAGAACTTTAAGGCCTAGGAACTTCAAACTTGGTATGGTGATTGGTCATGATCAGTAGATGACCCCTAATGATTTTTGGGTCAAGGAGTCAAAGGTCAAGGTCACATTGACCTTGTAAGCAATAAAGGTTTCTGATCAAATACTAAAGAACTTTAAGGCCTAGGAACTTCAAACTTGGTGGGGTGATTGGTCATGATCAGTAGATGACCCCTATTGATTTTGGGGTCAAGGGGTCAAAGGTCAAGGTCACATTGACCTCTTGGGTAAAAACGGTTTCTGATCATTAACAAAAGAACCCTTAGGCCTAGGAACTTCAAACTTGGTATGGTGACTGGTCATGACCAGCAGATGACCCCTATTGATTTTTGGGGTTAAGGGGTCAAAGGTCAAGGTCACATTGACCTTGTAGGTAAAAACGATTTACGATCAATAACGAAAGAACCCTTAGGCCTAGGAACTTCAAACTTGGTATGGTGATTGGTCATGACCAGCAGATGACCCCCATTGATTTTGGGGTTAAGGGGTCAAAGGTCAAGGTCACATTGACTTTGTAGGTAAAAACGGTTTCCGATCAATAACAAAAATACCCTTAGGCCTAGGGACTTCACACTTGATATGGTGATTGGTCATGATCAGTAGATGACCCCTATTGATTTTAGGGTCAAGGGGTCAAAGGTCAAGGTCACATTAACCTCTTAGGTAAAAACGGTTTCCAATCAATAACTAAAGAACCCTAAGGCCTAGGAACTTCAAACTTGGTATGATGATTGGTCATGACCAGTAGATGACCCCTATTGATATTGGGGTTAAGGGGTCAAAGGGCAAGGTCACATTGACCTTGTAGGTAATAATGCTTTCAAATCAATAACTTAAGAACCCTTTGGCCTAGGAACTTCAAACATGGTATGGTGATTGGTCATGACCAGCAGATGACCTATTGATTTTGGGGTCAAGGGGTCAAAGGTCAAGGTCACATTGACCTTGTATGTTAAAACGGTTTCCGATCAATTAACTTAAAACGCTTAGGCCTAGGAACTTCAAACTTTGTATGATGATTGGTCGTGACCAGCAGATGACCCCTATTGAGTTTTGGGTCAAGGGGTCAAAGGTTAAGGTCATGACCAGTAGGTACTTGATAACCCTTATTAATTGTTTGATCACTGGGTCAGAAGTCATGCATAATAACCTTTTCACATAACTAATTGGCTGCTGATAGGGGGCATGCATGTTTTACAAACATATCTTGTTTTATATATTACCAATGTCAAATAGCTTTCATATCTTTGTCTCGCACGAATATGATATATAAGTGAATTTCCTCATACGTACCTACCTTAAATTCAGATAACAGTCTTCTTTTATGTATCACCATGTTACGCGTGTGTAACAAACAAAAAAATCCTGAATTTGGTCTTTTGGAAATTCATCCCATTTTTTCATTCCAGAGTGTGTTCTACTTTCAGTATTGAAAGAAACCATTTTTTTTAATTTGACATGAAAAATATATATGTAATATTACTACATGTATATTATAATATTAGTCCCTTTTGTTACTATTTGTATATTTGTTACAATTATAACAGACTTTGATATTTCTATCATCTATCTTCTGTTACTGAAACAGAACACAGTACAGTCATGTCACATAACATTTACAAGTCTTGTAAGTCTTGTTTGTATTCAATGGAATTACTTTCCTTACCAGGTAGGCATCAGTGAAAGCATTTTTATATTAAATATTTTTCCCCTCTTTTTAACGATGGACAGTTATGGACAGTGCATAAGATAAGTATAATTATGCAAAAAATGGTTTACAAAACATTCGGAAAAAATCTACAATAGTACTTAATCTGAATATAACATGACCTGTGCGTAGGAATAATTTGGTAAGGTATCTGTAATGAGCACATTTTTTTGCGCGGAGCTTCTCAATTGCTGCATTGCAGCAACATTTGTACTTGTAAGTGTTTGAGTTATCATTAAAAGTTTATAAAATTCACGGCTTATAGTCGGTGGATCAAAAGAAAATTTTACCATCGAGTGCCTATGTAGAGAATTGTATAGAATATCACATGACTTTGCCTGTTTAATTTGTTATATAAGATTACATGGAACATTCGCTTTATTAATCCGTAATGTCAGATGAATGTATGAAATAAAACATATAGGTATTTTGTTACAGTTTGCTTTAGGCAAACTTTTAAAGTAACTACATGTATATTTATATACATAATTATACTGACAATATTGTCAATATGTGATAATGATTCACTAGCACAATTATCTGACAAGGATGGTGTAGTTACCAGTATCTCATGATCAGTTATGGTTATTACTTTTCACGTTTATTAAGAATAAAGTGCAGTTTATCACTTTTGCTATTTTAGAATTTCAGAACACATTTATATCTTACCAACATTTCAGCTGGAAGGAAAGATTAAATTAATCACAATTAATCATGTATTTATATTTTACAGAGTTTTGTGCCCATCAAGGGTATTTCATCCACATTATGATCGCCTAAGTCCAACATGTAACGATCATGAAAAAGGCAGTAGTGAAAGCTAGCAAACAACGTCAGCGTCTATGTGACGACTCGGAGAGCTGCGGCGTCCCATCTCTCGGTAGTAAGTTTAATTTCTGATTCAACAAGGGCTTATGTGTACATATGCCGTTGTCACCCCTTATAACTCGTTGTTTTATAAGGGGTAGCATACAAAAAACTGAGCTGGGTTTCAGACCGGTTCATTAAACTCTCCATTTAGTTTGTGAAACTGGAAAAAGTTTGTATCATATGTTTTTCAAAAATCTCTAACAGTGTTTGTTAAACCCAAGAGCTTTGGTGAATTCTAAAGTAGATGTAGTTTTGTGTAAGAACATGGCGACAGATTTAGTCACTCTGTTAGTAGATGAAAATGGAAACATATGATTAGTCTTTTTATTATTATACAACATAAACACATGCAAAAGAAGAAATTGAGATGAGATAAGAGATAGACGAAGGTTGAACACATTATCGAGGTTTAACTTTAGAATATTGTAAAAGCGGATGTTTGTATTAATGTTGATAGGACTGTTCAGATACATGTTTGTCATTCTGTAGTTTCATGTGCCAAAATACATTGCAAATATTTTTTCTCGTTATTGTTCTTTGCATAGATAATAGATATTTGAATGACATACTAATTTCATAATTCTTCAAGGAAATTTTGTATATTTATTCTGTAATGTCAGGTTTTTTTATCTGTAACATCTAAACAGAAAAACATACATGTGTGTTATGTCATGTATTTGATTTTTTTTTCATTTATTTCGTACTTTCATATATGTATTGATTTGAGATGATAAAGTACTGTTCTGTTCTGCAAAATCCTTTTCTAATGACATAATTTACATATAAAGCATATGAAAATAAAATATTATGAATAATTATGAAATTTCTTTCAGCACATAAAACATTAATTGCTATAACGCTCATAACCATTTGTGATTAAAATTATTTTAAAATTACTCAAAACTTGTACCTTTGAACATGTATGTACCAAAATTCGATAACTGAAATTTACTTTTAATATAATTATTCCGATATTGTGCAGTAAATTGCTACGAAAGCTTATTTGAAGCCGCCAAAATAAAAACAATAATGAGATAAGTCAGAAATAATCAAATTCTTGTTAGAATCCAGATGGTTTGTGTTCAGAAGCTTCAGCTTTACGATAAATGTCAGAAACTAGTTAAACTGTGATCAGAAAATGGTCTATATAGATAGTCGGATTATGACTTTCATATCCGAACTTTCTCCGACGTCAGAATGGACCGGAAGTCGAGAGATTGGTATGATAGTTCTGTTGTGATTGCAAATCATTTGTAAACCATCAACACTAGATGTGGTGTCATGAAACCTGTACATGCACAACAAACAAATCCATGATTTATATCAGTCTAAAAATAGCAAAATTAAGGAATGTAAAAAAGCAAGGGAAGTGGTATATATCATAACTTTCAAACAAGATTAGTATTACTAGTAACTTATTAATCAGTAGACCTACTAAGTTGTATTGGCACTACAGTAGTACTTAATTAATGTTGTTGATGGTGCCATCAACTCGTTTTTCATTCTACTTCTAGCACCGGGTACCACTTATCACGTGACTGTAAAGGATTGCCAATTTGGCAATAATAATATACAGATCAAGTCAAGCGGGGATAAAGAAGAGCTCAAAAAAGGTATGTTGGTTATTTTCCTTTACATTGAATATAAACATAGATGGTTTTAGATATTAAAGATCCTATATGTTGTTATTAAAGTGGTTAACCACACTAAGTGAAGTTATATATACATGTATGTACATAATTATGCTAATAAAACAATTTTCAAACATCGAAGAATATGTAAAATATGTACTGCAAGTATTTGTACATAGTATATGTAATAATTAAAATATATGTGAAAAATTTGACTTAGACTTTATAGAAAATAATTTTTTATTACCTCCTTTTATTTACATGAAATGTTAAATTCGGTAATATCTTTGTAACTAATGCTTTTTTGGAACTTTCAAAATTGATAAATCTTAATTTGAGCATCATATTTATGATATAAAACCATAAACAAATTATGTTACAGGATCTTTAAATTTGATACGTAATAAAAATATAGTTTATGTATTTAAGGTGAACAATTTTCAATTCGTAACTAAGTCTAGTTTAGTTTGATGACATGATCATTACATCTTATACATGTATGTATATCGTGTATAAACGATGTTTACAAAGTAAATACTTTTTACGTCCATGATATTGTCCATTCAAATAAGTTGTTTGGGTTACATTCTTTTAACTTCACACATTAATGTTAGATCATCTATATCAATTGTAACAGGTCGAGCATCCTCTTCGTCCATAGGTGTATCAAGTTCTTTTTAAATTTTCTCTATTTTAGTAATCTAATCAGCAGCTAAATTTATGTGTTTTAAACCGTCCATAGAAACTTGAGAGAAAAATGACGAAGTTTTAGTTTATGAATCAGTATATGCAATACAGTTTCTTTTTAGCTCACCTGAGCACGAAGTGCTCAAAGGTGAGCTTTTGTCATCACTCTGCGTCCGTCGTGCGTCGTGCGTCGTGCGTCCTTCAAAAAATGGCGTCAAACTTTTCAAACAACATCTCCTCCTAAACTACATGGCCGATTGCAACCAAACTTTACAGAAATGATCCTTAGGTGGACCCCTTTCAAAGTTGTTCAAAAATTTAAATTCCATTAAAAACTCTGGTTGCCATGGCAACCAATAAGAAAAACTTAAAAAATCTTCTTCTAAAAAACCGTAAGAGCTAGAGCTTAGATATTTGGCATGAAACATCTTCTAATGAGTGCCTACCAAGTGTGTTCAAATCAAAGCCCTAGGGTCAAAATTGGCCCCGCCCCAGGGGGTCATTGATTTTCCCTATATGCATATAGTAAAAACTTAAAAAATCTTCTTTTAAAGAACTCAAAGAGCTAGAGCTAAGATATTTAGCATGAAACATGTTCTAATGGGTGTCTACCAAGTTTGTTCAAATAAAAGCCCTGGGGTCAAAATTGGCCCCGCCCCGGGGGTCATTGATTTTCCTTATATGTGTATAGCAAAAACTTAAAAAATCTTCTTTAAAAAAACCCAAATAGCTCGAGTTTAGCTATTAAGCATGAAACATCTTCTAGTGAGTGTCTACAAAGTATGTTCAAATCAAAGCCCTAGGGTCAAAATTGGCCCAACCCCGGGGGTCATTGATTTTCCTTATATGACTGTGTATAGCAAAAACTTAAAAATCTTCTTTGAAAAAACCCAGATAGCTAGAGTTTAGATATAAAGCATGAAACATCTTCTAGTGAGTGTCTACCAAGTTTGTTCAAATAAAAGCCCTAGGGTCAAAATTGGCCCCGCCCCAGGGTGCCTTTGATTTTCCCTATGCATTATTATAGTAAAAACTTAAAATCTTCTTTTAAAGAACTCAAAGAGCTAGAGCTAAGATATTTAGCATGAAACATGTTCTCATGGGTGTCTACCAAGTTTGTTCAAATAAAAGCCCTGGGATCAAAATTGGCCCCTCCCCGGGGGTCATTCATTTAAGCTTGACATTTTTTTTCTTTAGATATATGCATATTATATATATACATATATATTTATATATATATATATATATATATATATATATATATATATATATATATATATATATATATATATATATATATATATATAAATGTATATATATATGTATATATATATATATATATATATATATATATATATATATATATATATATATATATATATATAAATAAAACAAAAAACACAGTCCATGAGTTAACTTATTTAATTATTTGCCAAATATATATATACAACCAAGTTTGTTCAAATAAAAGCCCTGGGGTTTAAACTGGCCCCGCTCCAGGGGCCTATATACAGGTGAGCGACTTTGGGCCATCATGGCCCTCTTGTTTTAAGTTTACATGTTATTTTTGCAAACATCTTATTTCCTTTTCCGAATTTATATTTTTCAACAACAAAAAAACGAACGATTAACAATTCAAAAGATATTGAAATACTTCTTCATTTTTTATATGCCCAAAGAATTTCGGGCATATTATGTTATACCCCCTGGTGTCCGTCCGTCCGTTAGCAATTTGGTTTCCAGAGCATAATTTAAGTTCCATTTGGCCCACAATATTCAAACTTCATAGGATGATTTCCCATACTGTAAAGAAAACCCCTCTTGATTTTGAGGTCACAAGGTCAAAGGTCAATGTCTCTATTACCTTAAAACTGAAAACAGTTTCCGCTCAATAACTTAAGTATTTATCAACCTACGGCTGTAAAATTTTATAGGATGAACAGTCATGTCCAATACATGACCTCTATAGATTTTAGGGTCATAAGGTCAAAGGTCAGGGTCACAATGATCTTAACACTGAAAATTGTTGTTTCTGGAGCATAACTTAATTTTCATTTGGACAACAGTGTTCAAACTTCATAGGATGATTGTCAATATTGAGTAGAAGACCCCTAGTAATTTTTGGGCCACAAGGTCAAAGGTCAAGGTCACTATTACATTAAAACAGAAAACGGTTTCGCTCAAGAACTTAAGTATTAATCAATCTGCATCTGTAAAATTTTATAGGATCCAATACATGACCCCTATTAGTTTTAGGGTCATAAGGTCAAAGGTTAGGGTCACTATGATCTTTACACTGAAAATTGTGCTTTCTGGAGCATAACTTAAAGGGGCAACATTCGCTGCCGCGGCAGCGAATATTTGTGGGTGTGACTAATCAGTGATGTAAAACTGTCTGTTATAAACCATGAGCTAAAAATAGAATGCAGTGTTAACCTGCAGAGAGAATGTAAACAAAACAGCTGATTTTACACAGGAGAGGTTTAATGGATGTTTTATATAACTCACAGATTAATCAGATTAATTAAAAGACATTATCAAGCCATCTTGTCCAGATATTATTTTTGAAGTCAGTTGTTTTTCATCAAGTCAGACAACTATGTCCAAATCCAAAGGATGTGCCTTACATGGGACATTTATTTTAAGAAAAACTGCTAAAAATGATCTTGACAGGAATTTAAATTATTTTTAAACTATTAATATATAAAAAAATTAATACAAATGATGAACATTTGTGAAATGTAATTTTGACTACAAGATATTTACAACAAAATATAGTGTAAATGAAATATACCTGGAAGTTATTTTTACTGTTTTCATGAAGTTTAAACCATTTAAATACACGTTGAATTAAAAAAAAAATCATAGATTAATGGATTATTGTAAATTTGTTGGATATAAATACTTTTTGATAAAGTAAGATCAGTAAAAGTTATTGTTTTTTCTTATCATGTATTCAGCATTCGAATGTGTCGTCTGCTGAAAATCTCCCTCCCTGAAATATATATCGTCTGCTACAAATCTCTCTCACTGAAATAAACAATGCCACGTGCATCTGTTTACTACAGAAGGTTCATGACCTGTAATGATCAGTTGGCTCCTCCCATGGAAATTCAAATTTCAAATTTGACAGCCAGTATTTTTTTCCAGAAACACACTTAACAAAGTTTTATTTTGAATAATTTTGGTCAATCTATATCAAGAATATCTATGCCTACATACATGCCAAGTGTTGTTTAAATGCATTTGGTAATTAATCTTAAATCTTTGAAAAAGGGTCCCTGAAGTGAAGCATGCATAAAATTAATAAGAAACCTGCCCTAGCGCCATCTGCTGGCTTGTATAGTCCAGTTGGGCCTTTAAGTTCCATTTGGCCCGCAGTGTTCAAAATTCATAGGATGATTGTCATGAGTAGAAGACCCCTAGTAATTTTTGGATCACAAGATCAAAGGTCAAGGTCACTATTACCTTAAAACTTAAAACAGTTTTCGCTCAATAACTTAAGTATTAATCAACCTACAGCTGTAAAATTTTATAGGATGAACAGCCATGTCCAATACATGACTCCTATTGATTTTGTGGTCATAAGATCAAAGGTCAGGGTCACAATGACCTTAACACTGAAAATTGTGCTTACTGTAGCATAACACAAGTTCCATTTGGCTTACAGTGTTCAAACTTCAAAAGATGATTGCCTATATTGAAAAAAGAACAATATCAATATTTGGGTCACAAGGTCAAATGTCAATATCAAATGACCTTAATATTGTTGACAGTTTGATATATATATATATATAAATAGGTTCTTCAGCTTTAAAGGAGGATTGCTTTTTGAAGGAGGTAATAATTTATTTAATTCCCATGTCTTACAAATGCTTCATCCTTACTATAAAAACACTTTCAGACAAGCGGTGCTCTTTTGATTATTATTCTATTTTTTTCTTGTATTTCTGTTCTCATTTAATTGGATGCCGAGGTGGTAGGTAGCTTATAGTTTTAGCAGGGAGGCTGACACTGTATTTCATACGGTGTCCTTATCGTGCCATTTAGAATGTCGTCCGTCGCGTCTAAGGGTAGACACACGACAATGCGAAGTGACATCGCGACAATGCGAAGCGACGCTCGACAACGCGAAGCGATATGCGACAATGCGAAGCGACGCTCGACAGTGTCAAACGATATGTCGCACTGTCGCCTAGAAATGTCGCGGTAAAAAAGGGCGACATTTAAGAAATGTCGCTTCGCGTTGTCGAGTGTCGCTTCGCATTGTCGAGCGTCGCTTCGCGTTGTCGCGATGTCACTTCGCGTTGTCGCGATGTCACTTCGCGTTGTCGCATTGTCACTTCGCATTGTCGAGTGTCGAGGTTGGTAGAAGTGCATACCACGACACTCGACAATGCGAAACGACAACGCGACAATGCGATACGACGCTCGACAATGCGAAGTGACACTCGACATCGCGAAGCGACATTTTTAAAATGTCGAGTAAATGTCGCGTTATTTTTATGATTTTTACACCGCGACGCTCAACATTGCGAAGCGACACTCGACAATGCGAAGCGACACTCGACAACGCGAAGCGATACTCGACAACGCGAAGCGACACTCGACAATGCGAAGCGACATTTGGAATAATATCGTATCGCATTGTCGTGCGTCTACCGGTGCTTGGTCAGAATTTACTAACTCACCGACAAACGGTGCGATCATGGAAGGGGTCGCACTAAACTGCTGACGAATTAGCTGACGATATAGAATATATAGGAAACTGCTGACCAGTTAAACAAAGAAGGATTATCGAAAACTGCTGACCAGTTAGATAAAGAAGGGAAAACAATGAAGGTGTCAAATTGCCGTTGGTGATATTACAGGCGAGGTCGAGAAATACTTGATAAAATGTTTTTTCAAGATGTCAATATTACAAATGATACATATTAATTATAAAAAATTCAATTGATATATACTGTATATTTCTCAATTTATTTTGATATAATATTTTATTTAAGTACCTTAATGAATTT